CACGGATGCACACGTGTGCACACACCTGCCCCCACGAGCCTGGTGCATGCTTCACTGCAGCCTTTCCCGTTTCCTTCAGCTGGGCGTTCTTGCACCCGTCTGTGCCGAGTGTGCCCATTTTTGCGCTCGTGACTGGTGGTCCCCTGTACACGTTCATTCATCCCTGCTCCGCACGTTCATTCTGGATTCTAGGCACTCCTGCCTGGTGCTTGCACGGTGCTTCTCGCCCTGTGGCGCTTCCTCCCTGGCCGCACCGGTGCGTGGCGCAGGCTTCTCGGGCTTGCGTCTTCCTTCTGACTCTGTTCCTGCTTGTGCTAGGAGCCATCTCGTGTGCTTCCTGCGTTTGGCTTCTTCGGAGCCCAGCCCGCAGATCTGGAGAGGTGAGAGAGGTGACTTCGTGCCTTCTCCGCCGGTGGCTCGGAGAGGGCAGCAGAGCACAAGCTTTGGCGAGGCTTTGAGTGCAGCCCGGACACCCTGTGTGTCCGTCCAGGCAGGGCAGCTGCCCGAGCTTGGAGAGTCTCAGGCCGGGCTCCGCTGGGGTTGATGCTCCAAGAGTGGCTGCCAGAGTCAGGGGAAGGAAATCACAGGCAGGGAGGCCTTGGCTGATCCCCTAGCCAGGTGATGAAGATGGAAAAAAGCATATTCGTTTAAAAAGGACGTGGTTGTTGTCATTGGGGAACTTTCAGTATCCTGAGAGAGTTGGGGGTGGTGGTGACAATGTTTGGCATAACACCAGGATATTAGGGCCAAAGGAAAGTTTAGGAGACAGTTCTCTGGCCACCTTGGAGAAGGCCTTGAGGCCAGGGGAATTCTAAAACATGGAATTAAGAAGGGCATCTGTTCCCGGCTGGGGAACAGGCTTCAAGAAAGCACCTGGGTGGGCCTCGGTGGATTCTTCTGTCCATCCATGACCTGCGCTCAGCATTTAGGGAAACAGAAACAGAGCACCTGGGAGGTTGGGGTGGGGTGCGGCCAACACACCTAAGTGAATGCCGGATAATTGAGGAGAGGGCATTAGCAGGTAGGAGGTGGGAAGCCTGTCCAATTGGGCCAAGCTTTGGGGGGCGCTCAGGAGTAAATCCATTCCGGGCCGAGGGGCATCTGTGCGGAGACGCAGACGAGGGAGGTCCGACTCAACAACTTAGGCGGGGTGTTAGTCACCAGACGTTTTATTTGGCATTAACTTGATGGCAATGGGCTCAGCACCAAGGAAACAGAGGACAGTGATTCCTCCAGGGGCTCACGTGTTAATGGGGAGGACGGCCAGGCAGACAACTATGACATATAAGGGATATGCATGTCTCTCCATACCTAAATCTCTGACATACAGCTACACATTTTATATAGTGTGTGTGTATTAATCTCAGGGGGAAGGCGCTCGCATTTAGGGGACCACAAAGGTGGGATTTGAGCTGAGACTTGGAGGAAGCCAAGGAGGCCTGCGGGAGAGCCAGTGGAAAGACACGGAGTCTGGGGGACAGAGGGCGGCCAGGGTCACTGCACTGCAGAGTGCAGTCAAGGGGCTGGAGAGGGGCAGGCAGCAGAAGGTGGGAAGGATTTTAGGTTTGGTCCTGGAGCCACTCAGCTGTGTTGTGGGAGGTGACTTGCTTGGACCTGGGCTTTAGGGAAGACTCTTTGGCAGCTCAGTGCTGCCCCCCAACGGCTACTGGAGTCATCCAGGGCGAGGTAAGGGGGGCCTGCACCAGGGTGGGGCAAGGGTCAGAGGTGAGATGAGGGGACAGGTAAAATGGACAGGTCTTCGCAGCAGATGGGCTGTGCGGGGAGAGGTAAGATAAGGAGGGGTGGAGGATGACATCAAGGTCTTGAACCTGGTGAGGAGGGGAGGGCTCAGTTTTGGGCAGGGTGAGTTTAAGATGTCTCTGAGCCATCAGAATGTCCAGGGGACAGCTGGAGACACCGGACTGGAGGTCAGCAGAGATGTTTGGGTTGGAGAGGGAGATCTGAGAACCGTCAGCAGAGAGATGGTGACTGAATCCACAGGAGCTGATGGGATCACCCAGAGAAATTACATAGAAGGGTACAGGCTGGAGGCAAATTCAGCAAAGGCAACTGAGAAGGAGCCGGTCCTGCCCTTAGGGGAGAGCGTGGCCGGGACATGATGGCCCTTGACAGTGACCGAGGCTCAGCGAGGTCCAGAAGGAGGAGAACTGAGAAAAGGCCATTGGATTGGTGATTGAGAGGGAGAGGATGAACAGTGGGGAGAGAGGGGGGAGGAATGTCCAGCGTCCTCTGTGGCTTATCTCCCGGGCAGCAGCCAGCTACTGTAGATGTCGGGGCAGGGGAGGATTCTTTTGGAGCCAGGGAGGCTGGGTTGGAGAGTGGAGAACAGAGGCCTGGCTTTTACAGCAGTCCCAGGGAGAGCTTCCCCTGGCGTGGTCGTGCCCTCCCCAAACCCTGTTCTATGTAGGTCAATTTCTGCTGACTTTGTTATGTGGAGCACCCCAAAAGCACCTCGTGCTAAGCTATAGAGCTTAGATTGGAACAAAATCAGTGAGCCTTGAGATAGATGGGCTGGGAATTCATGGCGATTAAATAGGCGTGGAACATTAGCACCTGTTCCCCAACATCACCTCTCCCTTAAATGGACAAGATAAGGTCATAGTGGTTGATGGGGGAGGGCTTGCTTGCTCCCAGAAAGAAGAAGCAATTAGAGAGTTTATGAAAGCCGTCAGTCAGAGGAGCCAGGCCCAGAACTGGGAAGGAGACGGCTGGCCCCATTGCTTTTACAGTGAATTCCAAGTCTTACTGTAGGATTCTTAAGACTTGTAGCTTTCTTTTTGGTTGTTAGCAGCCAAATGTCCCCAAAGGGCTGTGATTATTTCTAGGGTAGGGGTAGAGGTGCTGTGAGATTGTATTCTATTCTCAGTGGGCCTGGGAGGAGAGGACCGTGGGTAAAGGAGGAAGGAGGGGCCCATCCTAGTGACCTAAGGGAAGGCCCTGGGGGAAGGGGTGTCACTGGCCTCTCCTCCCCTCCCCTCCCCTCCCCTCCCCTCCAAAGGCCCCAGTTCATGGACTCTTGGTTAAGAACTCTTGCATGAAAGCAAAGTTTCCCAACTGCTGGTTGGGATGGACTTTTATTTTTTCACATTTTATTTTTATTTTTTCCCCCCATCAAATATCTGTCTAATTAAGTCTGTTGAATTATTTCTTAAAACATATAAACAAAACTGTGACTTTTGATTTTGTTTTGTCTGCTTTCCCACCTCCAGTTTCCGGCTCCCTGGCTCTTGGTCCCGAGACTCCTCGAAAGGCCATGGAGAGTTGAAGAGTCACAACAGAGAAGGGAGTGCTGTGCTGACCTGTGGTGGGGTCTGGATTAGCAGGGCTGCATTAGAGCAAGACCACACGTTGCTGTTTGCTGCTGTCTTTGACCCCCATTTCCTGGAAATTTGGCTCCAGAATTGAGGGCAGAGGGGTGGGGTTGTGGACAGATTATGTCTCAGAACCTTGGGAGAGTCATGGCTCCATGGAGGCTCAGAGAAGCCTGCAGCTCTGTGGGGAAGGGAAGGCTGTGTGCTCCAGTAGCATGCCGGCAGTCCTGTGGACCCCTCCTTGGGGAATGTCTGGGGGCCATGACTGAGAGCAGCACAGGATGAATGGGCATATTTGGAGGGCGAAGGTCACAGACTACTCGGGCTGTCTTTGGTTATCATTGGGGTGGAGTGGAGGAGAAAGTCTGTTCACTTAAATTCAGGCAATGTTTATCAAGCCAACCATCTCTGTGCAACATTGTGCTCACACACCTGGACAATGATGAGTGTGTACGTGTATGTGTGTGCATGTCTGCATGTACGTGCATATATGTGTATGTGTGCATGCGTTCGTGTGTGTGTGTGTGTGTGTGCGCGCGTGTGTGCGCGTGTTAGGGGCCTTAGCTGCAGGCAGCCCTGTTGGAGCTCTGGGAGGAAGGTCCTCGGAGGGCAGGGTGGAGGACTCCAATAACTGAACGTTCTAGAGCATTTTAAAGTTTGTCCAGCTTTGCCCCCCTTGATCTTAAACCCCAGGCGAG